CACACTTATTGATTCGAAACCCATTTGACAACATAGCATTGTCAAACTTCTCATGCCATTGTTTGGGAGCTTGCTTCAAACCATACAATGACTTGACAAGCTTACAGACTTTCTTACTTTTTCCTGGAGCTAAAAACCCCTCGGGTTGCTCCATGTAGATTTCTTCATCTAAATCTCCATTTAAGAAAGCTGTCTTTACATCTATTTGATGTATTTCTAAACCACGTAAAGCTGCTATTGCAATTACCATGCGAATGGATGTAATCTTTGTCACAGGTGAATACGTATCAAAGTAATCTAGACCTTCTCGCTATCTGTGTCCTTTGATAACTAGTCGAGCTTTATATTTGTCAATTGACCTATCCGCTTTCATCTTTTTTCGAAAGATCCACTTACTTCCCAAGGCCTTATTGCCTGGGGGTAGATCAACCAACTCCCAAGTATGGTTCTGTAAAATGGAGTCAATCTCACTCTTAATTGCTTCTTTCCATAAAGGACTTTCAGGTGAAGTCACAGCTTCATGGAACGCTCGAGGTTCTCTCTCTAACATATAAGTCAAGAAGTCTGGACCAAAAGACTTTGTGGTTCTAGCCCTTTTACTCCTTCTTGGCTCATCTACTTCATCAGCGTGATCATCTACTTGATCAGTTATTTGATCATCCATGTGATCATCTATGTGATCGTCTTCGTGATCATCTATTTTTTTCATGGAACTCGAAACCCTGTCTTGGGGACGACACGGAAATACATCTTTAAAGAAAGAAGCACTTCTAGATTCCATGATAGTATTCTTGTGTATATCTGAAATATCAGACTTGTGCACAAGAAATCTATATGCACTACTATTTTGTGCATAACCAATGAAAATACAGTCCACGGTTTTCGGACCTATCCTAACCCACTTGGGTGTAGGTACCGCCACTTTTGCAAGACACCCCCACATTCGTAGGTATTTATATGAAGGCTTGTGACCTTTCCACAACTCATATGGAGTCTTGTCCACTTTCTTCCGTGGTATTCTATTAAGAATATAATTCGCGGAGAGAATTGCTTCTCCCCATAAGTTCTGTGGCAACCCAGAACTTATCAACATTGCATTCATCATCTTTTTCAGCGTCCTGTTCTTCCGCTCAGCAACACCATTTGACTGAGGCGAATAAGGCACTGTGATTTGGTGAATAATCCTAAATTGAGCACAAGTCTCGGCAAACGGGGATTCATACTCACCACCACGATCACTTCTCAATGCCTTGATTTTCCGGCTTAATTGATTCTCAACTTCATTCTTAAAAAGAATAAATTTATCAATAGCCTCGTCTTTGCTTTTAAGCAAATACACATAACAGTATTTAGTGCAATCATCAACAAAAGTAATGAAGTACTTGTTGCCACCACGTGATTGTACAACTCTCAAGTCACACACATCATTATGCACTAAACCCAAAGGCTGGGTACTTCTTTCAATAGAATGAAAAGAAGACCTTGTCAATTTTGCTTCTACACAAGTTTCACACTTGTGTTGTAGATTAATCTTGAAAGACGGTATGTGATCTAACTTGATTAATCTACGTAAAGAGTCAAAATTTACATGACCCAATCTACCATGCCATAAATTAGGGGACTCAAGCATATAAGCAGAAGAAGAAGCTTTCTCATTAATCTTAGGGATAAGTGTCATTACATTCAATTTAAACATACCACCTGACATATGTCCCTTCCCCACATAGACCACGACCTTGTCTGATTCAAACACCATGCGGAAGCCATGCTTGCTTAGGAGAGACCCCGAGACAAGGTTCTTACGAATGTTCGACACAAAAAGGACATCGTTCAAAATCAGTTCTTTTCCTGAAGTCATCTTTAGGATCACCTTGCCTTTACCCTCAACAGCTGAGGTTGCAGAGTTTCCCATGAACAACTTCTCCCTGTTTGAAATAGGTTCGAAAGTTGTGAACATTCTCTTCTCTGCACAAATATGGCGAGTGGCCCCAGTGTCCACCCACTACTCCCTCGGGTTTGACCCCACCGTGTTCACTTCTGACACGACGGCTGACAGATGCATGTCGTCCACATCGTGTGACAACTCCTCCATTTCAGCCATATGTGCCCGGTTTTTGTGTTGGGAAGGGTTTTTCCTGTAGGGCTTCTTTTTCAAACAATCAACTGCCCGATGCCTGTCACTTCCACAGTTGAAGCATTTGCCATCGAACCTAAAAGTAGGTTCCTTTGGCTTGTAGGCTGGCTTTATGGAGATTCCTCCTCTAGCCCCCAACTTTGAGCTTTTGCCTATCGGTGGTTTTTTCCTCGCCCCTGAGGACTCGCCATGCTCAACCATGTTGGCCTTGACAGTGGAGGTACTCCCTCCTTTCTTCTTGTTGTCCTCTTCAATCCGGAGCCTGACAACGAGCTCTTCGACTGTCATCTCCTTTCGTTTGTGCTTCAAGTAGTTCTTGAAGTCTTTCCAGCCGTTAGGTAACTTCTCAATCAAAGCAGCTGCCTGGAATGACTCACTTAGGACCATCCTTTCTGCATGTATCTCATGCAGAATCACTTGGAACTCTTGGACTTGACTCAGGACAGTTTTAGAGTCCACCATCTTGAAGTCCAGGAACCGGCCGACGATAAATTTCTTTACCCCAGCATCCCCAGTCTTGTACTTTTTGTCCAAGGCATCCCACAACTCCTTAGCCGATTTCTTGGCATAGAACACGTTGAAAAGCGTATCCACCAAGCCGTTCAGAATGTGATTCCGACATAAGAAGTCTGTTTGTTTCCAAGCGTCCAGAGCCATGAGCTTTTGTTTATCTTGCTCATTCTCCTCTATGGTTGGTACATCTTCACTCAGAAACTTCGCAAGGCTTAGAGTAGTCAAATAAAACAGTATCTTCTGTTGCCATCTCTTGAAATTCACTCCCATGAACTTCTCCGGGCGCTCGTGATGATTGAGCGGTCCTCCCAAAACAGCCGAAGTAACAATAAGAGGATTGACCACAGAGGTCACAGCAGGGGTTGACAAACCAGTCGCCCCGGGGTTCGGATCCCCACCAACATTAGCAGCAGCAGTAGCAGTAGCAGCATCAGAGACAGTTGTCATTTCTGAAAAATTACAGCAGAATTTTCACTATTCTGTATTTTCAGAAATCAAACTTAACACTAGAAAATCCCACAATTGGAAATTTAATTCAAAACTAGTCTCACCACGCAACCTAGAATCGAACATGGTCAGGAAAGTTTCCAGGAAGACTGGAGGGGTCACACCGGTCCCACTTAAAACCCAGTTAACTTTAGACAAAACTTTCAAGAGCATGTTGACTCTTAATCCATGGGAAACAACTTTAAGAATTAAATTTTCCAAGGGATGAAATAGGTTAAACACCCCAAGTTCCAAACTGTACAAGCAATTACAACAAAATTACTACAATAATTACAAGCAAATAAAACGTGCTTTACATATTGATGAATAACCACAAATGAACACTCAAGTAAACAATTGCTTCAAATATTTAGTCCAATTAATCCTTTTTTTCATTTCCATAGGTATTCCTGCAATAAAGAGTTAATAGCAAAATACAACAAAACCTCCCTCAGTTTTTCTTTGCTTTTGGCAAAGTAGTGATTGAAGGGAAGGGTACTAGCAAACAAAGTAATAAATAACTGTAAGTAAAGATTAAAACCAACCCTTAAGTTACACATCTAGAATTTAAACTAAAAAAAAAAACTATAAAAAATTAATTACATAATAAACATGTAATTAACTATATAAGTTACAGACCTAAATTAAATATAATTAAACCATATTTTAAATTGGTAAAGGTTACATATGAACTTATGGTACACTAAACATGTAATTAATTGAGGCAAGTTACAAACATTTTATAACTCCTAAATACTTAAATCACATTACTAGGCAAGAATTGCAAATGACATGATTAACATGCAAATAATTCTAGAGAAATTAACATGAATTTAAATATAGGCAAGTTATAAACTTTACAACTCCACACCTAAATTAAAGATTAATAGGTACAAGTTACATGAAAAATTTATTACCTAATAGACATGCTAGAAATGTAAATTACACTAAAAATTAAACCCGAATGAACATGTAATTTATATTGTAAACTAGAAGCTGTAAATCTAGAAATACAAGGCATAAACCGGTACACCATAAATTAATAAATTAATTAGAAAATACAGTGAATTAACGTTGCACCAATGGAACTCTTCTTCCTTATTGATAACAATGGCCTATTCCATGCCATGGGAAGACCAAACAGTAGCATAGACAAAATGGCAAAATCAAAAGCTTAACCATGTGTACATGCATCTAATAAACCAATTAACTCGCTAGTATTACCAGTGGCCAATTACATGCAAAATTATTACACACACTTATGAATCTATTAATCTAATTTTATGATAAACGTTGAATCTATTTTAAGCTTGTTGGGAAAAACTACTCACATTACATAATTTCACATTACATATCGCAAAATTATGAGATGAACAAAACAAACCTTCAATGCCAAAAAAAATAACATGCTCAATACAATACAGATAAAATATAAAATGGTTAACGAAAGCAAACTGAAGCTTGTGTGATACCACAGTCTCCTTAAAATAGATTCGCCGCCTCACCGTTGCATGCTAGAGGTACGCCGGCGTCTACTTCCCAAGATACGATGGTTTTTACAAGCTACAACAGAAGCACCTTCTGATTAGCTTAGCGAACGGATAACGGCAACACTCTCTCCCAGGAAGAAAATTATAGAAGAAGTAGACTGACAGTGTATAGATGTCAAGGAAAAAATTCTATATATCTTTTCAAGGAATATGGCCTCCTTTTATACACCATGGGGGAGAGGGGAGGAGCCTCTAGCCATCAAGGCTGGCAACTAATGCTAGCAAAACTACCCAATCAATTTTGTAAAACTGATAAGCCATAAATGTGTGAGTTATATACACATTTATGAGACAATTTCTTATTCAACCATTTTTCTTCAACAAAATCCAGACATAAATGTTGCCATATAATGTAAAAAATTCCCCAACTGCACAAAATCATACCCAAAAAAAAAAACAAGCCTGTTCAGAATAAATTTGCAAAACTTTGACAACAAAACATTGAAACGAAATGGGGTTTTTCTTTTCATTCACCATCTCGCTAATGGTGTCCTGAACCATCACTGCATCAGTGTTAATGGCAAAAACGACATCAAAAGTTCGGACCTCTATATCGAAAAATGGAATGTCTTGATTCAGAGCTGCTTCTAAGTACTTAATCCTCATTTTTGTCGATTGTCTCTCTCCAGTCCACATCCAACACGAAATCTCTGTAACCATTTTTCAATTCCTTTCAATTTCATTGCAAATTTATGAAATACAAACCAAGAATTAAATACCCAAATGATCAATCTATATATATAGATAGATATATATATATATATAACTCACCTGCCCATGAAGATGCCCATATTGCAGCCCCAACAACAAGGAAGTAAAACGCATACTGCAAAAATTCACAATCAAAAACACTTTCAAATCCACCAAAAAAACAAAAAACCAATATTGAATTCATGTTTTTACCTTGATAACTTCGTGTGTCATCTTATCAATGTTGTTCGCATTAGACCCAAAAGAATTCACAAGATCGGCGAAGAATCGAAGAAACAGAGGCAACGAAGAGCCATGAACAATGGCACCAACAGTCCCAATTGCCATCAAAACATAGTCCAACCCCAAATCCTTGCAAATATAATGGACAGCCAACATTCCTGGTAGTTTACCCCAAATCAAACCCAAGGTTAAAATAGCGGGAAAATGAAATGGGGGAATTAAAGAAATGGGGGAATTAAAGAGCGGGAAAATGAAGGCTCCGTTTGGTTATGATTTTTTTGAATTTTTTAATTTTTTGAATATTTTTAAATATTTTAATTTCAAAATATTACGATTTTAATTTTTTAAATTTTAAAATATTTTATAAAAATAAATTCAAACTCTATTTTATAAAAATATTTTTAAATATTTTAATTTTTTTGTTATGTATTTGGTTACGATTTGAGTGTAGAGTTGTGAAAGTAATATGAAGTTTCGAGTTATGTGTTTGGTTATGAGTTTTAAAAATAATTTTTTAATTGAGTTTTGTTTTATGTGTTTACAATTTGAGTGTAGAGTTTTTTTAAATTTAAAATATTAACATTTTAAATTATTTCAAATTTTTGAATATTTAAATTTTTACGATTTAGATTTTTTCAATATTTATTTTAATTTTTTACTTATTAAATTTTTTAGATTATTTAAATTATTTAAATATTTATGTTTTAATTTTTTTGAATATTTATTTTGAAAAAAAAATTATTTCCTTTGTAGTATTTTCAATTAAAAAATTGATTAATGTTATTTTCTGTTAATAATAATTTTTTTTAATTGAATTTTAACAAGAATTTGGTTATGAGTGTTGATCAGAATTTTCAGTAGTGTGAAAGTAATGTGTTTTGTTATGAGTTATAATAATTTAAATTAAGTTTTGAAAACTCTTTCTAAAACTCATAACCGAATAAATTTTCTTACTTCATATGTCAATTCAAACTTTCAAAACTTAATTTCACACTTAATTCAAAAACTCAATTCAACACTCTATTCAAAAACCATAACCAAACAAATTTTATACACTCAAATCATAATTCCACAACTGACAAACTCAAAATACAACTCATACTCTCAAATCACATTTACAAAACTCTACCAAACGCAACCGAAATATTTTTGGTTAAAATAATTTTTTTTTTTTGTAGTTAATGAATTTTTTTTATTTTCCATTTTTTTAATTACTAAGGTTGAAAAATTATTTGTTTCATTTTTATTTTAATGAAAAAAAATTATTATTTTTTTATTTTGAAGAAGTAGGGGTATTATTTTAATAAAAAATATATTTCCGCGGCTCATTTTTTTTTTTTTGTTACTAAAAACTAGGAACTAATTTTTTGTGGTAGAGAAAAGGGAGCGACAGTGAAAATGGTGGATAAGAGGTGATGGTCATGGTGGCAGTGGTGGTGGTGGTGGTGGCGGTGATGAAGGAGATTAGTGGTGAAGTTGTGGTAGTGGTAGAGGAGATGGAGTAGCGATAGTGGATGAGAGGTAATGGTAGTAGCAGTGGCAGTAGTGGTGGTGGTCATAGTTTTACCCATTGATTTAAGTATGGTGTTTGTTTTGAGCTTTCAAATCATAATTCTGCACTCATTTTTCAAAACTCAATTCAAAATATAATCATTACTTTTCAAAACTCATAGCCAAACACATAATTCAAAACTCTTCTCAAAATTTAATTCAAACCAATTTTTTAAATATTTAAATATTTAAATATTTTTAAAATATTTTAATTTTGTGAGATACAGATAAAGAAGAGAGATAGAGAGAGAGAGAGAGAGACAAAGTGATGAGCGAGAGAGAGACAAAATGGTTGCTAAAAGTGTATTTTCTTATAGTGGATCGATAAATCGAGAAGGAACTCGATAAATAGAGAAGATGGGAGGGAGAGAGTGAGCAAGGCGAACATAATGAGGGAGAAATAGATAAATAGACAAGCAGACAAAGAGAGAGAGAAGAGTGATGAGTGAGAGAGAGTGAGAGAGAGACAGGGGGAAAGAGAGATAGACAGTAAAGAGATAGAGAGAAAAAGAGAGAGAGATAGAGGGAGATAAAAAGAGAGAGAGAGAAACAAGAGATGAGCAAGAGATAGACAAAAAGAGAGAGAAATAGAACAAAAAGAGATGAGCGAAAGAGAGACACAGAAAAAAAGAGAGACAGAGAGAGAAGAGAGATAGGCGAGAGAGATAGAAAGATAAGAGAGAAAGAGAGAGAAAAGAAATAAGAGAGAAGAGAGATGAGCGAGAGAGACAAAGAGAGAAGACTGATGAGAGAGATAGAGAGAAGAGACATATGCGAGAGACACAGAGAGAAAATGAAAGAGAGAAACAGACAGACAGAGATAGAAGAGTAATGAGTGAAAGAGATAAAGAAAAGAGAGAGAGATAGAGACAGAGAGACAGGTAGATGAAAAAATGAATGAAAAGAGAAAATGTTATATCAAAAGAGTAAGACGACATCATTTTTTTTAATTTTTTTTGCGATAGAAAAATACTGTTGCATTTATTCAAACCAGTTTGTGACTATATATATATGAAGTTGTCTCAAAACCGCAATCACTATGCTAGGTTAGAGTTTTCCAAAAATTCTTTTGAGAAAATTATACTTTCTTGTTTTCTGTGTTATATTGTTTTTATTGAATTTTTTTAATATTTTAAGTAATTTTTTTAATTTTTAGACACACCTAACATAAATACACCTAAAAAGTAAAAAAAAAAAATTGTAAAAAAATCTTTTAAAAATTCACTAAATACCAAAAATATTTAAAAAATACAATAATTCAATACTTTTTTTTTTGTATTTTTATATATTTATTAATTTTTAAAAATATTTTGTCATAAATTTTTTATTTTTTAAATACATCTAAGTAAGGTGCATCTAAAAAAAATATTTAAAAATTTAAAAATATTCACTAAAAAAAAACACGAAAGTCACTTTTTACGACAGTAGAAAATGCCATCGCGAAAAAGGAGAGTATTTGCGACGGTACAATTTGCCGTCTCAAAAAAGTAGAGTATTTGCGACGGCAGAAAATACCGTCGCAAATACTCTCCTTTTTTGAGACGGCAAATTGTGCCGTCACAAATACTCCCATTTTCGCAACGGCAAATAGTGCCGTCGCAAATACTCTATTTTTTTAAGATGACATTTTTTGTCATCGCAAAAAGTGACTTTTTGAGACGACAAATGTACCGTCGCAAATAATTCCGTCTTTTAAGTCCCATTTTCTTGTAGTGTATGTCTGTTTTTTTTTTTTAATCTCATTAGTGGTGGGTTTGAAACTACTAAATTAAGTAGTTTCTAGCATAATTGTTTCCCATAAAAATTCTACACAACTTGTCCAGCAAGAAACTTGCGATAGGGTTTAACCACGACTCCTAAAACCCACTTCTTTCGCATCCCAATTCTGAGAAACCACAAGACCCAGTTCCGATCTCTCAAAACAATATGAGTTTCTTCAAAGGAAACTCTCTCAACATGATCCAATCCTTGAAAAACCACATCAAATCGGCCAGCAATCATTGCAGACACCTCTCAACTTCATCATCATCATCATCCTTGATCCTCAAGAAACCACCGCCCTCACTACTCTCCGATTATTATCAATCATCGATCCTCACCCCCTTGGCCGTTCGCAACTTCCATTCCTATAAATACAAGATCAGATCTCCCATGAACTTGGGCATCCAATTCGTCCCGGAAAAGAAGGCCTATATAGTCGAACGATTCGGAAAATTCGTCAAAATTCTAAACCCGGGTCTCCACTTCTTGTTTCCCTTCGTTTACAAAATCCCCTATGTTCACTCCCTCAAAGAACAAGCGATCCCGATCTCCGATCAAACCGCCATAACCAAAGACAACGTGCCGATCACCATCGACGGCGTGCTCTACATCAAGATCATCGATCCAATCTTAGCCTCGTACGGCGTCGAGGACCCCATTAACGCCGTGGTACAGCTCGCGCAGACCACCATGCGAAGCGAGCTTGGAAAAATCACCATGGACAAGACGTTCGAAGAGCGAGACGCGCTCAACAAGTGCATTCTAGATTCGATCAACGATCGGCCTCTGCGTACGGATTGGGGATTGGAGTGTCTCCGATACGAAATCAAGGACGTGAATCCGCCGGAAGGGGTGAAGGAGGCGATGGAGTTGCAGGCCGAGGCGGAGAGGAAGAAGAGGGCTAAAATCCTGACTTCGGAAGGGCAGAGACAAGACGACATTAACATTGCGGATGGGAAGAAGAACGCGGTGATTTTGGGATCCGAAGCCTCCAAGATTGCGCAGGAGAATGTTGGGAAAGGAGAAGCGGAAGCCATTTTTATGAACGCGAAAGCTACTGCGAAAGGGATTCAAGAAGTGTCGAAAGCTATTGAAGAAAGCGGAGGGGTTGAGGCGACGAGTTTGAGCATTGCAGAGCAGTACATTGAAGCGTTTGGTAAGATTTTGAAGCAGAGCACCACCGTGTTGGTTCCTGGCACAGCGGCTGATATCGCCAGCGTAGTAGCTCAGGCGGCCACTATTTACAATAAAGTTTCGGAGACGAAGCAGTTTTGAAGGTGGGTGGACAATGGACATCCGAGAAGCTTGGTTGGTAGGATACTAGAATATATCGACATTATATTGCATATTAGTTGTTTTCAATTCCTACTTAGGACTAGATTGAATTTGAATGCAATGCAATAGTCACGCATGCCATATAAAAATATTTTATGATTGTTTTGGTTATTATGTGATTTGAAAAATTGAACCTTCTAGGACACTCTTTAATAGTTCATATTCTTTCATCAAATTTAAATTTGATAAAAAAATAATATTTTTTTTACTCCAATGGTTTCATCAGATTGGTATCATATCGAGAACATTAAAAAAAAATCTACCAAATTGAGGACGTTTAGAGTTTCATCAAATCACTGTTCATAATCGTTGGATTTTCACCACTGGATGTCCCCGGATGACTAACTCTAGGCCGGTTGATCGACCAACATCCACCCGGTTGACCGACCAACATCCACCCAATCGTCTGGTATTTTGATGAAGGGAAAAGTTAGGGATCATGAAAATTTTGTCATGAAAATGATCATGAAAAATTTATGATCTTTAGATTGTCTTGATTAGTGTGTGGTGCTTTATTCTAAGTATAATCCAAGGGCTACAAAACTTTCATGATTATTTTCATGAAAGATTTTTCATGATACCTAGCATTACTGTTTGATGAAAGGTCAAACTCACTCAAATTTGATGAAAAAATAAAAGAAACTAAAACCAGTGGAGATGCCTAAGTACCATTGCTATGTCACTTGCAATTTTTGAATTGGGTAATTGGATAAAATGAATTCAGATTTAAATTATCTCTTATCTAATTTGTCAAAATTGGATTAAATTATGTCGGAAACTGATCCTCATCGGGACCGGTTATGTGTTTCATTCACCAATTTAGTTGCAAATTCTGGACAAAAACACTTAATTAACCACATTCTTTACATTAGTCTGCACTGCTGCTTGAGAATCATCCAGACAACAACTTTGTCAAACAATATCATCAACACAGGAAGGCTCTTGAGAGCCATTTGATCACGCTACAGTAATTTCAACCATTAAATTTTAAATTTGAGTCCCATTCACTTCAATCATGAGAGTTACTTTGGAAAATGAAGAAATTTGTACTGTAGACGGGGAGACGTTAATAGTAGAAATAATTCACATTTTAGGATGAAGGAATTTTAGCCCTTCAATTCATCCCCAAAAGAGAGGAAAAAATTGTTAGAGACACCCTTAGGTTTCTTGCCCTTTCTGTTTTTGGGGTCAATATTATCAGCAAACCAATGCAGTTCATCCTACGTGCAATGAACTTTAAAACAAGCCAAGTCAGTCTAGAAATTTTAAAACATTACAACTGTAGCAAGACAATTGTTTCCTCGAACAGCAAACTTGCATATCAGATATAAATTTACAAGCAACCAAGAAAGGAAAGAGTCACACTTTCATGCTCTCACTATATTTAAGCAACAACTTTCAATTCACCCAATAAATTTTTCACATAATAACCCATTCTTACTACCTGTGATTCACTATCAGAAGAGAAACAAACATAGAAACATACCAAAAGTCAGAAGAAAAACAAACACACAAACATACCAAAGGTATCATTTCTATGATTGTTCGAATGATATTATAATCAGCAGCTAATACAATTTCATAAGTAAGGCACATGCCAAAGTAATCCCAAGCACAATGGTTAGGATTATTTGGCTGTCATTGTTCATATAACCACCATTTATGGTTGGAGCAGCTGCCGGAGGAAGTACATACTCCTCCACGTTGATGGCCAGTTTCATACCGTGAAAGCAGTAGCCTCCGCTACTGAGGAAGTAATAAGGCCTCACTTGTTTGAGCTCAAACACATCCCTCCCGCCCCTTGTAATGTTGGTGATGAAGTTCTGGTCATTGCATTTCTCATAGTTCGTCTTGTTTACCTCCAGCACATTGTAGTAGCGCTTGTCAAACACAAAATCTTACAATGAAATACAAAAAATATTGAAGTTAGAACAATACAGTTTTATCATTAGGAAGAAAACTGAGACTAGCAGAGCAGAATTGACACTGTAACTCAGATTTCTCCACACAAATTAATTCAGCATTCAATTGTCAAAGGAAATCGAATTATTTTAAAGTCACTCACTAATTTGAGTTTGTTGCATCCCAAATAATGGTTAGCTGGGAAGCCAAATAGCAGCATAATGTTGCTATTTCCGGCTGGAAAATGATGTGTGCCCAGAAATTCTACCCGAATTTTATCCCGAAGCTTATGTGTATGGTGTCGATTTAAAATTGATAGTGTGGAGTGGATCATACTCCTAATAAATGTGATTCATAGATGTAATTTTTTTTGGTTACTTTTCTAGATAAGTAGTATTGTTGAGTTCTAGTTAGCTGCCATCTTGTACTGCATGAAGATGTGCTTGATTATTGAGGGTAGTAGTGCTTGATTATTGGGGCTCTGTTTGGTTTAATTTTTGGCATAAGATTTCAAATTTTGAGTTATATTTTGAAAGATAAGTTTCTAAAATGAGATTTGACAAGAAAAAATTTGTTTGATTATGAGTTTTGAAATTGTTTTGGGTTTATTTTTTTAATATTTAAAAGTTTTCTTATTTTTATGTTTTCAGGGAAAATATTTTTTATTTAAAATATTTATTTTTTTAATGTACGCTGTATATATTACATTTATGCGCTATATTTTTTTAAAATATTTAAAATTTTTAAAAAATTATTTTTTATTTAAAATATATCATTTTTATTTTAAATATTTATTTATTTAAATATTTTAATTTTTTAAATAGTCTAAATATTTTTTTTTATTTTAGATATTTAATTTTTTTATTATTTAAAAAAAATTTGGATCGCCCATATATATATAAATCATAACAAATTATTTGGTCAAAACTCAAAAAATAACAAAATTTGTTTCTTCAAAAATAAAAAATATATATTTAAAGAACAAAATAAAAAAAAATCTTTTGAATTTTTTTTTTTAAATAGAGTTTTGAAAAGAATTTTTGAATTGAATTCTAAAAAAAAAAAATTGGTTATGAATTTTGAAAAGAATTTTGAAATTTTTCGATCCAAATTATGATTTAAAAATCAAACCAAACACTACCTTTGAGTTTTAATGTTACCATTTCACCAAATTCAAAATGAGAAAAGAAGAAACAATGTAAAAAACATGTCCTCTACGGATTGTGATCATCTGCCATTGCTAAATTCCATTATAATCAAGATTAGAGGGTAAAAATGCCAACATCAATTCACTAGTTAGAATTTGGATAACCCCTTACACTATTAATTCATTCTAGCATTATTGTGTATATATATTATTAGCACATGTATTCTCCTTAATACTGACAGTGGGCCTCAAAGAATAGTATGTGGGCCACATATGAAAACTACTAGGAAAAATTACACATTAGTAGGAATTTGAAAAAATATTTACAAATTAATAAAAAAAATATTATAGATTCAATTATTAAAATTTATAAAGTTTTTCATTAATTTGAATTTTTTTTTAGAAAACTACACTCATATATAGTTTCTTCAAACTACTATTAAGCAGGACCCACTCTTGAAGAGGTGAGACTAATTTTGACAGGTGGAATGTGATATACAAGGGTTTAGCAACGCTTAATTAATAATTAGGATTGATTGTGAATAGAAAAATAATTGAGAGTACTAAAAGTGGTACTCTAATAGCACCACTAATAATGTGGCAATAGATATGTCTTGTTTTGTTTGTTTGTTTTTTTTTTTAACATTTCCAATGCATTAGTGCTATTAGTGATTTTTTTTTAGTGGTATGAATCATTGTTGATTGTGAATATTGTCCATTAGTTAATTAGACTAAATTTGCATATTATAAATTAAAAGAAAAAAGAAGTGACTGCACAAAATACAAAACACAAAACACTTGCTTCTCATTAAAAAATAAATAAATACACTTTGAACTGGTTTTCATGGTATAACTGAATGATGTTCTGTTTATACACTTTGAACTGGTTTTCATGGTATAACTAATGCCTAAACGTATTACTGTAGTGGTCAGTGGACTGGACGGTATTGTTGGATTTGTGGAGTTTATTATAAATTTTATTTTGATAATTTGAATATTTTAATCTATAAAGTTTGTGGATCATTTTATTCTTATAAAAAATCACATTGATCGGATATCAATAACTATTCGATTAGATCAGATTTTTGTCAATAATTTATTTTAAAAATTATATTTATCATTGACTGAAATTTGAATCAAATAACTATTGATATCCAATTAATGTGATATTTTACAAGCACATTGAAAAATTCGGGTTATCGAAACAAAACCCGTAGTGATTCACAGAATGAACTGGAGAAAAACCTGGCCCTTAAGGCAGCATTTGAATATTTACCTTACGAAATTAAAGAAAAATTAGAGGAATAAATTCCAATCAAGGAAACAGCAACAAAACCCACCAATTAATCGGAGAGAAGGGTAGCGTTTGTTATCTCAGAAAGTTTTGGAAAAAGGAAAAGCCAGAAGTTTCCTTGTCTGGAAAATTTTCTGAAAAGAGGAGATGAAATGAAATCTAGAGCTTGCGTTCAGGTTTTTACGCTAATTTTAATAGAGGGAACTACACAATGAACTTCAAATCCATTTTCCAAATCATAAATTCCATGATACGAAACTCGCAGATAGAAACATACGAAAACGAGAAATGATGAGACTCAGGCCAAAGCAAAATTAGAACAATCAACTCAATTCAAGCATATAAATTACCAACTTTTAATGCATTCACAAACACATTCATTTTCATCAACACAACACAACAATCAAACATATATATAGAGAGAGAGAGATAGAGAGAGAGAGAGATTTACAAAGCCAATCGCCGACGTAAAATTGCTTATGAATCGACCATTCTGTGTAGTTGAAGTCCTTTGTCCAACCCACTCGTCCTCCCACCGTGAGACGCCGCGGTGGCTGACTCACTGCGCAGGTTAGCATCCCCACCACCACCATCAAAACCGTCGTCCACCATACAGAACCACCTTTCCTCAAACCCTCCATCACTGTCAGATTCTCTCTCTCTCTCTCTCTCTCTCTCTCTCTCTGTAGAATAGAAGCATTTATAGCGCCAAATCAACTTTGGTGAGCACCAGAAAGGATGACCACAGCGCAGACATATCTGTATGTATGTATCTATGTTTGTATCGTGAGGCCATTTTTGGAAATGGAGAGGGTGGCGCATTTGCCAACCCGGCGCACTTTAGCAGTAACTATTTCAGTTGCGCCTGAATTCACGCCAAAGTCGAGAAGTCTTCGCACTCTATACGGGAGTCAGGGCCTTATCACCGTACACGTGTGCAGCTTAACCATCCTGATGAGATTTTGCAGCTCACTTCCCATGCATGATTGATTGATTACATGTACGAATCATGAAGGGCACTAAATTTCAGCCCTATTTTGCACCTTTATTACGAATCTACCACTATATACATGCGGTGCATCACACATTCATGCATGAAAAGTACTGCGATAAAATCCGCGTGTTCGAAATTACAACAGTGAGGCAAATATTTTGTACGATGAATTTTTATTTATTTGTTATGAATAGTTTGGGAAGTAACTTTTTTTTTTAAGTAATTTTTTATAATTTTTGATTAAAATATTAGGTAAAAAATTAATATATTGAAAAATAAAAATTTGAATTTGGACGAAAAGATGTATGAAAAGTAAAAATGAGAAGAAATTTTTACTTTTTTGTATGAATTGAATTTTTTTTTAACTTTTTACCCTTTTTAGAAAAAAAATTAATTTTTTGTGGTTAAAATATTAACTACCCAAAAGAGGCCTTAATGCTTACAAAACTTTTAAATAATCTCAAAACTTTTATTTTTTATTCTATTTTATTGAGATGTATTGTAATAAATAATAATAATTAATTAGGTTGAAATCCTTTCCTTGGAATTGTGCCAAATGATGTGAGAAATAAATTATTTAACTATTATTCTATATGAAAACAAAGGGCTTGTTTGATTTGTTTTTGAGAGAGTTGTTTTTGAAAAAAAATTTGGGGGAGATAGTTTAGAAATTTTTTTAGTTTATTTAGTTGTATATTTTGGAAGAGTTGTTTTTTTGGGAGTTTGGAATGATTTGATATTTTGAGAGAATTTGAATAGATGTATGTGAGAGAAAAAATGATTGAGAATGAGAGAGGAGAGAGGAGAGAGAAAAAGTGATTGATTGATGTGTAAGAGAGAGGAATTGATTTTGAAATTTTTTTGAGAAAAACTCAAACCAAACAATGTTTTAGAAATTTTTTTCTAAAACTTATCTCCCAAATACAAACCAAACATATCCAAAATCTCCGTTGATTCCTTAAATTTTTAAGTTGTTTTGTTCCTGCAATAAATAGAAAAAAAAAAAATTTAAGTTGTTTTGTTCCTGCAATTAATTATCATGCATATGACATGGCAGAAGACATTTTAAGAAAAAAAAAGGGCAAATTACATATACCCCTCGAGGTTTGGCTAAATTACAGATACCCCCTGAGGTTTCGGAAATTACATCCCGCCCCCTGAGGTTTGTATTTTCATAACAATTTGCCCCCTGAGGTTTATATTTCATAACAAATTACCCCCTAATTTCTTATGCAAATATAGCATTCAGGGGGGGATTCGTAATTTCTCAAACCTCAGGGGTATCTATAATTTAGCCAAACCTCGAGAGGTATATGTAATTTTCCCAAAAAAAAATGCAGTTAACATTAACAGCACGCGACTCCACATGCCACATCAATGGTCATGGGTCCCATATTTATCGAGAATCATGACAAAAAAAAATTATTTATGCAGTTAATATTTTAGGAGAGTTACGTGTAAATCTTAAAAGATAAATTTTTTATCTAATAAATTATGTAATAATAAAATATTAACTACCCAAAAGAGGCCTTAATGCTTACAAAACTTTTAAATAATCTCAAAACTTTTATTTTTTATTCTATTTTATTGAGATGTATTGTAATAAATAATAATAATTAATTAGGTTGAAATTAACTTCAACCTAATAAATAGGAGAGTTACGTGTAAATCTTAAAAGGTAAATTTTTTTATCAAATAAATTATGTAATAATTAATGATATTTTTTATCAAATATTATTAAAAATGTCACTAATTCTTAATTTTCAAAGATAGTTTAAAATTTGTCACAAAAATGTCATTAATTATAAATTTTAGTGACAATTTAAAAAAAATCGTCACAAAAAGTCATTAATTTTCAACTTTTAACAATAGTTTAAAAAATTTGTCATAGAAAAACATCACAAATTATAAGTTTTTGCGACAATTTAAAAAAACTGTGACAAAAAAATTACTAATTGTTAATTTTTAGCGATATAGGTAAAAAATGGTCACAAAAAAATAATTTTAATAATGATTTTATTGTGACATATTTTTAATAGAACTTGATAGAAATTAAGTTCAACTATTAGGATCTATTAATAGTTTACCCATATTTTTTATTGGGGCATTTACATACAAGTCTCATTTTGTGAACTTATACTCCATTAAATCTTAAATAAAATTATTTGCTCCTTCAAGTCCCATTAATTTTTAATAGCTCAATTTATCCATCCAAGACCTCCTCATAGCTACCAAACATCATTGTTGTCTTCATTCTCTCTCTCTTCACAGTTGCAATTTGAAGTTCTACGCATCTTCAGTTCGACGAACGTGGGTGATTCGATCCGGGTCATGATTCGTCGTTGATTGAAGCTTGATCAATCAATTTCGCAGGTCACTCTTTGACTTCAAATCTGGATTTCAGTTCGAGACCATGACTTCTACTCTTGAATTCATCCGCGATGGTAAGTTTATGGTAACTTTCAGTTCCGTCCGTCCAATAGAATCGCAGAACAATCCCAATCCAACCCACCTTTCCGAAGCTGAAGATTCTTTGCATCTTTCTCTCTCTTTCTCTCTAGCCGCCCTTCCTTCCAGAAACCTTTCAAATTCGCTCTTCTCTTTATATACCCCCACTCCATCTTCACTTGGATCATCAGAACCACAACCAACAATCTCTCACTCATAATTTCCTAAAATATTCTTCTTCTTCTTCCACTCAACTCCAGTAAGTAGTTAAGAGTGACGACTATGTTGATGTCGATTTTCAGCGCCTTCGATGCTCTCTCTGCCGAATCCTTTGGTCAGAAGGTCGGCTTTCCTGGGCTGCAAAAGAGGGAAAAGTGGACGATTCTACGGTGGATCGCAAGGGAGCTTCATTTTCAAAAAGTCAGATGAAGAAAGACTACATTGTTCTTCTGAATTCTAATTTGAAATTGAGAAATTTCTCAAAATTGATAATTATAAATTTCTTAGTTTTGATAATATTCTTAGTTCATACTAGAAAAAATTGAGAAATTTCTTAGTTTTGATAATTATAAATTGAGAACATTCTCAGTTTTAAAATTAAGAACATTCTCAGTTTTGGGATTAAAGGGCAAAACATCTTTTTACCTATAAATAGGACTTAATGGTTCAAAAACTTTTTGACAAGACCTAAGCTACCACCAAATATGTAGATATGACTTTTTGGTAATTAATCCTTTTTTATTTAATGTAGTTTAATCTCATTAAAAATTAAGAGAACTTATCAAATAATGACAAGTTTAAATCACTTTGTTTGGTTAATGGCTTTTAAATATAACTAGCATATGAACCCATGTGATGCACGGACTAAATAAATAATTAAAAATAATTTTAAAATTAAATAATAACATAAATTTTATTTAAAAAATATAAAAAAAATTAGAATGAATTAAATTTTAATCATTTTATTAGAATATATATTGCAATTGTTATGTCATTAATTGTATATTCTAAGTTCACAATAAAAAATAGATGTCATAATTTAATTGGTAAAGATAAAAAAAATAGAATAAATTAAAATATATATATATTTATGATAAAATTAAAAATAAATTTTGTTTTATAATTTTTTTAAGTTTTAATTTTTTCTATGTTAAACATTGTCATAAAATTTAAACAAACCTTTTAGAAATAAAACAATATATATTTTTTGATAAAATCATTAAAATAGGTCAAAAGACTTATCAATTTACACAAAAATTAATTAATTAAAATTTTTAAATTTTATTTTATTTTAAAATTTGAACTGTCTTCAACTGTGAAATGCACAACACTACAATATTTAATGGGAACATAGGTTTACTTTATATAAGTAAAACAACTCACTTTTTTCTTTTTTCCAGATGTGGAATTGTGTAAAATAAAATTAACAATTATTTGGACAGGAAGTTTATTTTGAATCAAACAATATCAGTCATTTAATTTTTAATTTGGTCAATCTTTAGTTTATTTCGAATCAAATAAATCTAACAATTACCTTTTGATAAAATTGTTAAGATCGCGTTAAACTACAGAATTAGTTAAACCGAAAATGATTCAGCTTAATTGGCCAGCTCAAAAGATCAATTTATACAAAAATTAATTAATTAAAACTTTTAAATATTATTTTAATTTTAAAATTTAAACTATCTTAAATTAAAACATGCATAACACTACAATAAGTTGATATAATAATTAAATTATAATCATATATATGGAAAATAAGTATTTCTCAAATAGAATCCATATAAAATTGATTATTATAATTGAAATTGAATTTGTGTAGAACTTTATATGTAAATGGAAATGGCATGCTGATGTGAATTTTTTAGAAAAAAAAAGTCCTTAGCTTTTGCCACCTAAGCAAGAGAAACAATTCATTTTTTCCTTCTTTTTTTGATATGAGATTGTGTAAAATAAAAATTAACAATTGTTCGGATTGGAAGTTTATTTGAATCAAACAATATTAAACATTTAATCTTTAATTAGGTCAATTTGTAGTTTATTTCAAATCAAACAAATCTAACCAATATATTTTGATAAAAATGTTAAGATTGCGGTTAAATCAGGGAATCAGTTAAACCAAAAACGATTTAACCTAATCAGTTAGGTCAAAAGACCAATTAACATATACAAAAATTAATTATTAATTAAAACTATTAAATTTTATTTTAATTTTAAAATTTAAA